TGTGTGTGTGTGTGTGAAAAATCCACCATCTCCTGTAGTTTAGACTATCGCTTGTACTCGAAAAGAAAAGAAAATAACATTGACTTGCAAAGCAATGGTTTTAAGTTTGAACCATCTTGACACCTTAGTAGTGTGTGCGAGAAACTCCATTTCCCTCGTAATTTAGACTATCGGTTGTATTAAAGAATAATAATAAGAACAATAAAAGCATACAAACCATATTATTAACTCAGAAAAATGGAAATATCATGGACACGGGCCATGTCCCTATTGGCCTTGCTACATGAAAATAATAGAACCCAAAAAATAGACAATCAAGGAAACTATGGCAGAGAGTAATGTGATTGATGGTGGAATGCGACCCTTGTCTTTCCTTATCAGCATCCCTTCAACGATAGGGTAGTTCATCAAAATGACATAAAAGGGTATGAAAATTTGTATGAAAAATTTGTCCAACTCCCCCAAAAAGATGACTCTAGAAATCCCAACTGCAAAGGAAGCCATGTTCAAGATCACCAGAGCAGTCATTGGAGCAAGAAATAATATTGATGTTTGGAAATCAAACACCCCCATATTGTAACGCTTGAGTTGGTCAACATCGTCAACTTTGTTGGTTAGGAAGAAATTGGCTTCTCTCATACCAATTTTCTTCATGAAGCCATCCACACTGCCATATAAGTCAGATATAACTGACTTCATCATCCATATCCTTTGCTCATTTATCCAATGTCGAAATGTAAATCCCGTTGAGAGAACTTCGTATAAATGTTTTGAAATCAACGATAGAAATATGAATGAAAATACGATGAAGTATGAATTTGAGACCTGCAAATCCAAGAATAACAAGACCAATATGTATTAGGATATTGCATAACACTAAATCAAATTGAAAATTTTATGATGAGAATTATTTTTTTATGAGGGCAGTAGAATAGAATGGATGACTATAAGATAAATATTTATATTGTGAGATTGTCAGACTGTGTCAGTCTTTGTTGTCAGATATCGTGACAAAAGATATATTTTTTTTATTATGTGCAAGAATTTCCTTAAAGATAAGTACTCTTTATCTTGAATCATTTGTGCAAAAGATATTTGATAGGAAGAAACATATATTAAAAAAATCTTTAATTACCTCTGGGTACAAAGAAATGCCATTGAGTAGGCAGAGCTGAGGTATGGTAGCAAAGCACCACAATGGCAAGAAATGGAAAATGGGGACAAGAGCCATTTCTGCATAACACATACTGTGAACGAAAGTGGACGTTTTCGAAGGGCCATATATAAGAGGACAAAACTTGGAGAAAATAACATCAACCATCCCAGAGGTCCATCTAGTTACATGGACTAAAAAGTCATCCAAATTGGTGACGCCTCTGCCCAAGAACTGTGGCCTTGGTGGATTACAATACACCGAAATCCAACCTTTGCAATGCAAACGAAACCCTGTGACGTAATCTTCCGCCACAGACCCATACATGAAACCAACCTGGCATAAATGAAAGAAAGACCACAATAATTATTAAGTTGAATCATTCAATGGGTATAGTTTTAATAGTATCTGCACTTGCCTCTTCCCCCCATTCGGTGCCATTTTCGAAGGCACAAGAGGCTAGAAGTTGGGCTTCATTTAGCAATGCATTCTTTCTGTGGATGAGCATATCAGGCTTGTTGTTTTGGTGGAGGGATTTGATGAACTCATTGGATGGACCAAAAGATTCTCTAAGTTTCATGGGATCCCCATCTGGAAATTCAAAAGTGAAACTAGTAATTAGCTATAGAAACTTGTCTAAGAACATATACTATTAATGGATAAGGGGTTGATAGCTCAAGTAGTTAAGAGCAGAGCATTCCCTTGCACCCGATGTCCTAGGATAAACTTGTCAGGATAATAACAATTTAATTTTCTTTTTCAAACCATAGCTTTTTCCTTGAAGCAAAGATTAATACAATCAAACTGAAATGGTTGACAAAAACTGGGTGATTGACTGTTTGGTATTTATTAAGTGTGACCTGCAGTTGCACTCTCAATTACCAAGTCGATCCAAGTAAAACAATGTATACAAAAACACACCTTCATGTATGGAGCTTGAACATAAGGACAACCTCTTGATGTAATAGCCAGTACACACACTGCCCTCCAACCCCATCAAAACCTTGACATTGCAGCTTTGAAAGTAGTCAAGACCAACAAGTCATAAAATTGTCAGATATATTATTGCACATAAAATATATATATATGATTTCATTAATTATATTTAGGTGCTAATTTGTAATTAAATATATTCATGTATAACTAAAGTGAAGTTTTGTCCTTGAATCCATACCCAAAATACCGACCTCAGCTGACTGTCATAGATATCATTATTACTGATGTTGTGAAATTTTTGTGGGAATTGAACAAATGCTAGAGAGGGTGATATCTTTGGGTCAAGATGGAAACACATTGCTTGCCGAGCCGAACTTGGATCATGGCAATGCATGTCACAATCTAGCCCTAATATGTAAGGAGAATTGCTTATCACACCAGAGACCCGTAGCTGAAAAACAATAAGTGCACAATATATTAATTTACACGTAAATAAATAAATTCATAGATACATAGAAAAATTGTTCACTTGTCATATAGTCGGGCTTGTATAAATTATGTCACACTATCACTTTGGGTTGATGATCATACTAGATATTTGATAAAAGAATATTACCTTAGATGCATAAATGGAGGAAGATTAACGAAAGATTGAAAGAGAGAGATACATACGAGAACATTGAGCGCTCCAGCCTTAAAATTGTGGAAATGAGAAGGCCTTTTCTCACGAGAAACATATACAAGGAGAGGCATAATTTTGGTTTCATTTTCTTGAATTGCATCATCGCTGGATGTTTCTTGTATAACCTGCCAAATTTCCAGATATGGGTTATGATCATGAATTCATGTTAGCGGTGGGGACATATATTTTCTCCTTTTGTTTTTGTTTTCGTTTTTATTTTTTGTTTTGGTTTTTTGTGTGGGTATGGAATATGCTTTCTATCTAGCTAACTGCGTTTATATATAGGGACATTTTGGAAACTTGGCTTCTTGTGATGATGAGGTCACAAACCAAGGCTTACTCTCAACATATTATCAATATATTATGACTAAATTATAAAAAATTGGGAACTAATCGGGACTAGGGTCTTAAATATAGATCTATTTATAAATTATATAGGTTTCTACATATTTATTAGAGTTTGACTCTCGTTTTTTTTTGAATGTTAACTTAAAAAAAAAAAAAAAAAAAAAAAAAGTAGGTCTCAGTGGTAGGTATTCGAAAACAACCTCAATTAAAGCGCTAAAAACTCATTAATATTTATTTAGAAGATGTAAAAGTAAAAGATTTCTTTTAAGCGCTATATATATCAAAACCAAAACAATACCAAATGTTAATATATACCTCAATCACTGCAGGGTGATCTCGACTCGGTCCGCTTCTTGTGTCTCCAACCGTTGCTTTTTCTCTTACTCTTTTCTTGAACGCCTCATATTTCTCCTGCACCCAAATCTCCCCCATCAACTCTGGTAGCTAGAAACACCATTAATATAATACATAATATATCGTCACATATGAGTACTGTTTTCTTGTGTCCTATCAACTGTTGATTTTGTATATCATCCCTCTAATAAATCGGTGATATACAGTTAATTCGAAAATTTCAACTCTCATTCACCTTAATATCTTCTCTGTCTTGAATGAACTCGCTGCCGCCAAAATCAGCATCCTCTTCTTCTGCAGAGAAATAAGCCTCGGGAGCCCTGCACTTGATCCCATACCTCCTACAAAATGGAAGCCACCACTTTGCAAACCTCCAAGCCTCCCTCATACCCTTCAAAGTCACAGCAGCACCACCATCATCGGACAGATACACATGAAGTTTATCTGGCGGATAGTCCATTGCCATGGCAGATAAAACAGTGTTCATCACCCCAACAGTCGGTTCCTTCTCCGGATCCGCAGTGCAGATGAACACATCAACAGCCGGGAGCTTATCATCGCCAGGCAGCCTCTCCGGGAACGCGGTTCGCGAAACGGGACGCCACCGAAAAGACTGGCTGAGGAGCCACTCGAAGGATAGGAGGATTTCTGAGACAAACACAAGTAGCCATGCTACGGTGGTTGCTTTGGTTTTGGTAGAGTCTTGGAAGAAGAAGAAAGAAGCTCTGTAGTAAAGCAAGAAGACTAAAGCTATAGAGTGGAAGAATATATGTGTCCGGTTGATGAAGATTGAAAGCTTGTGGACATGGCAGAGATGAAGGGGGAGCTTAGAAGAACTCTCCATATCTTCTTCTGTTGTGGCAAGTTTTGTGCTTGGTATGCGCGTTCTCTCAGCACACACAAGTATCAACTACCTACGCCCTCCACCTCCTTTTAAAGGACCATAACACTGTTTAAGTAAATAATTAAAAATAAAAATGTAGAGGAATTCATATTGTTAAAATATCAAGTAAAAATAATTAAATAATCCAACCCAAGATAAAAGTTGGTTTTCCTTTGAGAATTGTCTTATTGTAATATTTTACGAGTTTAATACAAGTAAATTATTTACTTGTTTTGTTTCTAACAAATCTATATTAGAGTTGTGTACTGTAATTTTTTTTAACAAATCTATATTATTTACTTGAATTATATGTATTCAAGAGAGAAGATATGGTTCTGTGATTACAAGGGTCCAAAAATTTAATGGGTCTGTCCAAGTCAATTACGTCTAATGTTATTGAAACTTTTCTGCGGCTAAGGCCCCGTTTGGGATTGCTTTTTTTCGCCAAAAACATGCTTCACTTTAAAGTTAAGCAGTTTTAGGTGTTTGGTAAAAATAAAATATCTCGATTATTTTAAAAGCAGTGGCCTTTTGACAGTAGCTTTTAAAAGCAGGTTATGGGTTGCTTTTCAAAGCTGCTTTCAAAAGAAGCAGAGATGAACCTTTAATGAATTTTTTTAATTCCCAAAATACCATCATTCATTTTAAAAAATAACATCACCTCCACTTCCACATCCAACTCCACCACTTACACCACCACATTCACTACCTCCACAACCACCGCCATCGCCACCGCCACCACCACCACCACCACCACCACCTCCTCCACCACCACCAACTCCACCACTACCACCACCACCACCACCAACTCCACTTTCACCTCCACCTCCACCTCCACCACAACCACCACCACCACCACCACCACCACTAACTCCACCTTCACCTCCACCACCACCACCACTAACTCCACCTTCACCTCCACCTCCACCACAACCACCACCACCACCACCACTACCACCACAACCACCACCACCAACTCCACCTTCACCTCCACCACCACCACCACCACCACCACCATGCTGCCACCTCCACCACCATGCTGTCACTATCACCACCTCCACAAGCGCCATCCCTACCACCACCACCTCCACTCCATCACTACCACTTTACCACATGATTAGTACATAACACTTTTAACATCATGTTTATTTTAGTCATTATTCACAGTTACAACAATTTTATATTAAAACTTACCAAACGGTTTTGACACTGCTTTTTGTACTAACAGCACTTTAAAAATATTGTTTACCAAACACTGAGCTGCTTTACTTTACAGCTAATTATTTTCAAAGCACAGCAGAAGCAACTTTTTTTAAAAGTGACAGCAATCCCAAACTGGGCCTAAGTCGAAGAAGCTTTTGGCACAATCAACAAAACAATGTATTCTTGTTGTTTTTCATTGGCAAAACCGCGACTTCGTGGGCCAATGGCAGTCAATCTTGAGGCGCAAGAATAAAAAGTAAACAAGGTGGTGCGTGGCGGCCAAGCCCCAAACATTATAATTATTTTCTTAGAAAAAACACAATTTTTATTTTTATTTTTGATAGTTTTAAGTACATTCTCTACACAGAAGTGGGTTATGTCAATCAGTTAAGATAGTGAGTCAAGCCTCTTGATTTGAAATTAATTTTAATAAAATAAATTAGTTTAAAGTAATTTAGATTATCATTTATATTTAAAAAAATTTAAAAAAAAGGTACATTTTTTAAATTAATATTTTCCTTGAAGAACTCGAAATATAATATTAAGAAGCATATATAGTTGTGAGGGATTTGTAACTCAAGTGGTTATGAGCTTTTACCCCTACACTAGTGATCTTAAGTTCGATTTCTCACTCCCTCAATATTGCTTGTATGAAAAAAGAAGTATATGCAGTTACACCAATAAACTATACTTTTCTTAAAATAAATATCACAAATTCGAATCCCCTTTCACATTAAAAAGAAGAAGAGATATTTAGTCATATACCCATTATTAGCACTAATAATATAGATGAGCTCTACACCATTTAATTTCTATAAACAAACCCAAAAAATGACAACTGGTCCTATTGAATTTAATTTTGATTATTAAATTACTTTGATATCATATTGAGTGGTTTGTGAATTTTTATGAGACTTTGAGGTTGGGCTTGTTTTAAAAAAATTGATGGCAATTTTGTAATTTATAAGAAGTTAAATGTCTTTTTGTTATTTTGTAAATGAACTTTAAATGTGTTTCTAAAGTCCATTTCATATAAGGTTTTTTTATATTATAATTTGGACCCCTATATTGGGTATAATAGTGAATCTCTCAAAAAAAATATTTACTTTCTTCTAAAAACTCTAATATATATTTTTAGGCACTTAGAGATTTCATGCAGCCTGGAGAAGAATATTCCTTTGGAGAGGTTGGACCAAATAAATCTCATTTGTTCAAGTAAAAACACATTTTTTGGACCAAGTTTGAAGTCTCTAGTCTCCCACCACTAACGAGTCCATCGAATAATTTATAAAACATAACTAATCAAATAAAGCCTAGATCTCTCTCTCCACACTTGAGAGGAATTTGATAGGACTTGGGCATTTGGTATGCATGTTAGCAGGCTACGCATACATGCACCACAAGGAAAGGAGAAAAAGAAAGACAAAAATGTTGATGTAGTCTTTAAAGGATGTCCTAGTCAGTAATATCCAATCCCATCAATTGAATGTGGGAAGGATTAGTTTGAAACGTTTGCCATGAAAAAACAAAACCAGGAATTTCAGTTCAAGAGGGCACCTCAAACACTTTAGTATTCAAACAAAATTTCTTCAAAATCCTAGTAGTACTTTTTTTTATAAAGACTTTTTATCACGGATGGTTTTTGAGGTTTGCCAAATTATCGCCTTTCGTCCTTAACTTTTTTTTGTGACACTAATGGTCCTTAAGGTTACACCATGCACATCAAAATGGTCCATACTGTTAACTTTCATTAATCTTTCTGTTAAAATGCTGATGTGGCATATATATGGGGCCACACATCCAACAATATATTAATAAAATATTTAAAAGTATTTAAAAACTAAAACATAAAACAAAATTTAATAAAATAATATTAAAAGAATGAAAGAAAAATTGAACTCCCCAAATCGCACAGATTTGAGAGAGAGAGAGAGAGAGAGAGAGAGAGAGAGAGAGAGAGAGAGAGGCAAAAAAAAATAACATGAACGACCAACCAGAGAATTGAAGAAGAAGAAAAAAAAACGAAGTAATCACAAAAGCCAGCGCCACCCCCATCCTCTGAGAGCATCTCCAGCGCCCAACCCAAACTGGGTGAAAGGCTGCCAGAGCAAGCCCGAGATGGCTCCAGCGCAGGGCCCGTAGCCCGGTTTCATGGTGGGTCCCACGAGCCCGAGGAAGCCCAAGGGCAAGTCTTGCCCGGGCTGAAGCCCGAGTTTGGTGACGTTGGCGTCACCACCTGACAGCCTCCAACGGGCGTTTGCCACGTGGCGCGACAGGGACTCTCGGATGGCTTTTTTCCAGAAATCCGACGGTCCTCGTTTTTTTGGCTAAAAAAATTGCAAAAAAAATCGAAAATATTCTGAAATTTTTTTTTAAAAATACCCAAAAATTCTGTATTTTTTCTCTATAAATACCTAACCATTTTATTTACTTTCTACACTAAATCTTCATACAATTTCTTCTCCATCCAATATTTTTTACTCTTCACTCACATTATTCACTTTCCACACCAATTCTTCATACAAACTTTTCTCCTTCCAATATTTTTTTATCTCCGCACACATTTTTCACTTCCACACCAATTCTCCATACAAACTCTTCTCCTTCCAATATTTTTTACTCTCCACTCACATTTTTCTACTACTTTCCATTTGTATAAAAAAACGAATGGCATCTTCTATTGAAGTCGGAGGCTCGTGGTCAACGAATGAAGATATTGCGTTGTGTCAATCTTGGGTGAACATTAGTCATGACCCTATCACGGGTAATGAGATGAAGTTTCATCACATGTGGAGCAAAATTCATGGAGAATTTTGTCAAAGATCGGGTTCTATTCGGACCGAAATGGCATTGTCTAGTAGATGGAAACTTCTGAATAAAGAGTTAGGGAAATGGAGAAATGCCTTGACAAAAGCAAAGGCGAACATTCAAAGCGGTCAAAATTTGACCGATGAGGTAAAATATTTATAATTGCCATTTTAATCAATTCAATGTCACTTTTTTTTTATTGCATATTCTATTTGTTTTTCTTGCATAATTTTTTTTTTCTTGGTGCACCTTTAATTTGTCTATATTTTCTTGCATAATCAATTTTATTTTTGCATTTCAAAATAGTTTATATTTTCTTGCATAATAATTTTTGTTTCTTGCACTTCCAATTATTTATTTTTAAAATATCTGAAAATCTTATCTGACATTTGACACGTGGCACAATTGTAGAGGGTGAAAATCTTATCTGAAATCTGAGATTATAATTTTTTTAAAATATTTGAAAATCTTATCTGACATTGGACACGTGGCACAATTTTAGAGGGTGAAAATTTTATCTGAAATCTGAGATTATAATTTTTTTTTCAATATCTGAAAATCGTATCTAACATGGGACACGTGGCACAATTTTAGAGGGTGAAAATCTTATCCGAAAATTTAATTACAAAAGATTATCAAAATTAATGGTTTAAAGTATAAAAAAAATAGGAAATAAAGTACAATGAATAGTAATTGCCTGAGACTTGCCCTAGACTTTGCCCTCATGGGTGGAACCACAAATGCAAAGGCTGACACTATTCACGTGAATAGTGGCAGCCCTTGCTTGCCCTTGCCTTAGACTTAGCCCTTGTGGGTGGAGATGCTCTGAGCCCTGACACCCCACACCCATCCCCGCAGCACCTCCCTTCCGGCACCCTTCTCTTTCTCTCTATCTTACATCTGGGTTGGGTGTGCTCTCTGTCTCAAACCCTGCTCCTCTCTCTCTCTTCCCTCGAAAAAGCACAGCCCCAACCCCTCTCTCTCCTATCCGACACATCCCAACAGTGGATCTCCCCCTTCACTAGATCGATGGGTGATATGTATCTGAAATTTGAATTTGAGCCTTTTAATTTGAATAAAATTTCAAATTCTAACTAATTGGTTTGATAATACTGGACATTTGTTTTGAAATTTGCATTTTGAATTGTCCATCTTGGCATCTTGAAAGGTGATTTTGCTGCCCTTTTTTCGTGTCTTTCTTTTTGGTAATATTTGCTGCCCAATTTTAATCTCTGTTGAAGTTGGGTAAGTTGAAAATGAAAGTGGCAACTCGAGCGACTCAACTCGTGGTAATCTGGGCGAGGTGGAGTTTGGTTGTGTTGGAGAGGACAGCGGCGATGGCGGTGGGTTTGTGCTAGATCGAAAGGCTGTCAGTCAGAGGAAGGTAGGATGGGGGTTGGTTAGGTGGGATCATGGGAGGTGGCTGGTGGTAGAACTAGCAGGTTTTTTTTTTTTTTTTTTTTTTTTTTTTTTGTGTTTTTAATATTAATATTTATTAAAAAAAGTTTATTTTTCTTTTTAATATAATATTATAACTTTTATTTAATTTCTTTTATTATTTGGCTCACATTCTATTGGATGGGTGGGTTTCATATTTGTGCCAGTCAACATAACAGAAAACTTGATGAAAGCTAACGGAAGGACCATTTTGATGTGCATAGGATAGCCTTAAGGACCATTAGTGTCACAAAAAAAATGTTAAGGATGAAAGGCGATAATTTCTCAAACCTTAAGGACCATTGGTGATAAAAAGCCTTTTATAAATAATAATAATAATAATGCTGATTAAGCTTCATCTCATGGCCATGATTAATCCATTCAATCTCAACGGTTAAAAAAAACACATCCAACAGCTAATATGTAAATTTGAGGGCTAAATATTTAATATCAATCAATCTAAATTAAGTCCAAACCCAAAGTCTATAAAATGTATGTTTGTGGCTATGTTATGAAATAAAATGTATAGTCTGTAAGAAAACATTACACATAATATACTTAAAAGCATGAAAATGAATCATTCCTTTGCCCTCAAGGCTCAGAATGAACAAAGTCTGAAATGAGAGGAAGAATGAAAGGGATGAGGAAACTAGGAGGAGGATGGGAATTGATTGTATAAAAGGTTTAATCCAGTTAACCTATCTGTAAATGTCTCACAAACAATGCAATCCAAGCAGGTGATATTAGAACAGGAATATTTCCATAAGATCCAACTTTGTTAAGTAGATTTTAAATTTCAATCCACTTAACCCAACTGACCTGTCCAGTAAAATCATGGCTGCAATCAAGACTTGTAACTGACCTGGATGCAAGAGTTAACAAATTCATGGCAAGATATATATACAAACTACAGAAGATGTCACCAGCATATATAAACTAGGTCAGACTAATATAGATAGATATGAACTAAAGAAGATGTCACCATTATCTCCTTTGCACTCCCAAACTCAGCAAGGAAATCACCTATATGAACTTGACATGCCAAGCCAATTAAGGGAGCTAATACCCGAATGCTTGAGCTTTCAAGCATTTCTTGAATTTGTTGTGTAGTGTGACTTGCTCTTAGTTTCATTTAATCATCTGGTCCATATGGTTCGAGTGAAGATTTCCCTAACATTTGGATTTGCATACACCACACCGATATCCTGGAGAAATCACCGAATGAACAAACAAAAAAACACAACAGTACAGGTCAACTTTAGCCCGGTGAAAAGTTCAATCACTTCCAAACTTAATCACTTTGTTACAAGATAGTCATTCATAGGTTGTGGACATGCCACCGGTAATTTCAACTTAAGACAGGCAAAAAAAAAACACAACATAACAGTTACTGAATGTTGTCACACATCGAGAATGTTAGAGATGATGATAACTTCTGGTCACCAATGTTAAATTATCACAAATTCAAAATTTTCATTTCTCTGATATGCAGCAGTAGTTGACAGTGTTTAGTAGCAGCCCAAGACAATTTGTTTTGAAAACCATTTATCTTGCATGGTACACAAGAAGAATAATAAGTTCTAAAGGCCTTCATAGAGAGAATTCTTTCTGGCGATAAAGAATTCAATTATTTTTTCCATAACACAATGAACAAACACGCACAAGCAATTGGCTAGAGAATGCAGCATATCATTTATGCTCCCTCTTTATTGGATAAGTTACAAAAAACCATTGCTTTGACAGTGTACATATGTGACCTCCTTTTTATCAGTAATACAATTTTAACACACAATCAACCTACCCAAAACAGGAAAATTCTTTATTTTGCTATCAGTCATATTTCTTAGGTAGAACACTTGATTGCAAATGCTAAACCAGCCCCCTCAATATAAATCATGCTCACTACTGCACTTAAATTAGTTTCATCTCACCCCTTATTAGACATTCAATAGATTCCACTTCGTATTCATATCCAAGACTTCAAATTAAAGACCGAGTAACTTCGGCACAGTTAAGCAATGGCATATGCATATATTAAGGTCTATCATAAGAAAACCAACACAATACAAATTTCGTTAACAAAGTAATTCATACAAAAACAGAGAAATTTAGAGCTGCAACTTACCACAAAAAACAAGGTTCTGATCCTCCCAGCTCCTCCCTTTAGCCCACAAGCACATGACCCTTCTTCTTCTGTTGTGCCATGTACTCCTGAAGTCGCTTAGCTTTCTCTACCATTTCCCCAATGACCTCCTCCGTCTCATCAATGATCTGCTTCGGCAGATGAACCTCCAAAAAATCAAACCACTGGCCAAGTGTCATCTTCTCCAAGTCACAACTCTCATTAACACCTGAACCACTACCACTTCTGTTGTCACCCTTAACACCACTACCACTTCCATTGTCACCCTTAACACCACTACTACTTCCATTGTCACCCTTGCCGCCCCTCCCACTTCCATTCTCACCTTTATCACCACTCGCACTTCCATTGTCAACCTTATCACCACTCTCTCCTCTAACATTAAACTCTTTACCAGCCTCTTCATGTCTCTCTTCCTCAAAATTCAACCCTTTTGAAGCCTCATCGTCCTTCACGTCAATTATTACAGAGTCTCCCAAATCTCTCTGCTCAGGAACATCAGGTTTATCACACACCGGTAGCTCCTCTGGTACATTCTTCCTCCTCCTCGCACCGCCACGTGTCCTTTTCGGCTCAATCTTCACCTCTCCACCATCTACACCAGAATTATCTGGAATCTTCCCCAATTCCTCATTCTTTGAGCTCCGAGTTCGCCTCGTACTCATTTCCGGAACCAAATTTTCCTCCACCGGCTTCTCATCTTCAACCTCACTCTTCAAAACCCTAGCTTTGGGTGGTCGGCCCCTCCTTCGATTCCCTACGGCCTCAATCGCCTCAGCATTTTCTTTCTCCAACTCGCGCTTTGCCTCCCTCTCCTTCGCAGCCCTACCTCTCTGGCCCCGACCCTGTGCAACCGACCCCACCGTAGTCTCCGCAACTACTGCGACTGCGGCACGCCTAGGGTTTCGTCTGAGCCGGCTCTCCTCGTAGCCGTCGATCTTCACGGTGATAGAGGTGTACTCGCCGATTTTGATTTCGTCGCCGTCGCTGAGGTCCAAGGGCGTGTTTGGGGTGACCTTGGTGCCGTTCAACAGGGTACCGTTTGAAGATTCGAGGTCTCGGAGCACCCATTTGCCTGATTCGGATTCGATTGAGAGGTGCTTGGAGGAAATGCCAGAGTCTTTGATCGGGAGGTTGTTTCCCCGGACGACGCGACCGATTCGGACCTTGGATCCGGGTCCGAAGTCTAGGGTTTCGCCCTCCCGCGGGCCTTGGACCATTATCAGCTTGAGAGCTAAAGGCTCCATTTTTTCAGAGAGAGAAGGAGGGAAAGTTTTTACGTTTGAAATGCCTTTCAGAGTAAATAAACCGGTGTAGTTCGAGTTAGATTCCCCTATATTTTCATTTTTTTATTTCGTCCTTTTCCTTTTTAATTTACAATCTAGATCTATTATTTCAGACCATAAAAAATATAAAACCTATATTTCATCAAAACAAAAAATCTAGAATGAAATAATAGCCTGACCCGATTCAGCCCATTAAAATTGAGTTCATTCGTGTTTGTGCCAGCCCATTTAGTATTTGTGTTGTACTTGCATAGGCCTATATAATTCTAGAACGGCGAACAATCCAAGTCCTACCGCCCTCAAAGGAAAGATGCTGTAGAACTCAACCTCTGTTCTCAAAGTAGTCTTACTTTGATGGATGTTTTCTATATTGAACCAAGAAAGTATGAATCGGAAATATCAAGGATTAGGGAGATACAAATAAGTATGGAATCAAAGTAAAGTTGGGTCAACGGGGTCTAGTCCAGTGGAGAAGGGCCTTGACTTGCAAACCAATGGTCTCAAGTTCGAATCCTCATGGCACCTTGGTATAATGTGTGTGAGAACACCTTTGTAGTTTAGACTATCGCTTGTATTCAAAATATGAAGTAGAAAGTTGAGCCTCTCCTCTTCAACTGCACATGCAGTGACAGGTTGGCTTGTAAAATGGCATTTTCAGTACGAGTAATAACAGTATCATAACAAAACTGATTTACAAGATTAAGAAAGCATCTCAACACGTGGTATATATGGAGACCACTGGAAGAAGCTAAAGCCAGGTAAAGGAAAGAGCCTTCAGAATGTCTGGCTTCTGCAATCAAAATTTGATCAATAATTTCTGATAGCTTTCCTGCTTCAGGGCTCTAGATCTCGAACAGGACGACAAAATCAATCTCCAACAAAGGACTGAATAAAATAGAAGGGAAAAAAAAACATACTTAGGGCAAGGTATAATCATGCTAAATTTTATAACAATGCAGTGGAACAATATGGTTAAATGCAGCTTACTCATGAATATCCATAATCCACAAGTGTGCGAAAAAAAGTTGCTAGATTGAACAGAGATGAATTCTCCTGGCTATGTTATTGGTCCATTTTGCTCCTGCCTTCCTTGGCACCAGACCCAATATGAAAGCAGTTAAAAATTGTCATTATTGCTTCATCACAACCAGATGACAAAAGGAGTGCAATTCATATCATAACAAAGACTATTGCATCACACCATGAGCAATTTTTTATTATCAAGTACGTGATTATCTTTGAGAAAGCATATTTTCAGGACCAGCAAATGTTTCACAAGCCCTGGTTGCCTTTGTGTAGCAAAACCTGGGCAAACTGAAGCACAAATTTTAACTGTCGGCAAGTAAACTTTACCTAACTCATTTTCCACGCATCAACACAATTGAAACAGTACTTCATAATATGTCAATCACAAACTAATCTACTTCACCAAAAGAGTTGCCAATCTCAATCTGTTTCTGCCACTCCCAGAGTTAGACTTTGAAATTCACAAAGTCATACTTGTAAAAGACGGTATATTCACTGGACATACACCTTAAGTTTCTGCTTGAGGAAAATTATACATAGAGTGTGGGTACAAGAGAAGTGTTCATTTGTCAAGAAAGTTGTGCATAAAATTCATCCTTCCTTTCAATACGTGCTTCACAGTACACTCAGTTTTTCAACAAATAACAACTAAACCCCAAGGAAGAAAACGGCAAAAACAGATGAGTATAAGTTGGTAACAATCTAAATGCCATTCAGAATTTTTCATGTTATAGCTGTGTGCTGTGTACAAGGTAAACTTACTGTGCGTGAAAATGCTCAGTCATTTTGGTGTGGACGAGGGATGATGTCACAAAAACTTCCAAGTGGGGCGCATGGCACTTGTCAAAGGCATTCCAATCTCCAAGACACCCTTCATCCATTTAACCCGGTTTACAAGTTCCTCCAAGTCTAAAATTGCAGCTTCTAATGTGTCAGAGCTCATTGAATTTAAAACTATGCTTTGATCTGTTTTCAACTTCTTTAAGGACCCATTGTTGTCAACTCTGTCTTTCCCAGTTGTAGATCTCCCCATCCCCTTTGATGCATTTTTAATATGCGAACTTGAAACACTATCTGAGCAACTCGTCTTCCCAATCCCACTATCTGCCATGTCAGAATCAACATTTGTTTCTGGTGTGGGTGTCAACTTTGCTGTTATAGCACCTAACGGTTGCTTTGCCATTTCCTCTAATCCATCATGAGGTTGCAATGAGCTAGCAGATACTTGAGAAGAAGGATGTGATGCTACAGCAATAGCTTGGACACCCTTTCTTCCATCACCTACAGAATGGGCTGTCAAGCTTGAAATGCCCCCTGCAACAACATCAATTGTGCTATTAATTGTAGTTCCTGTTTACAAAAAGTTTGAAAGGCAAGATTCAAGAGCAACAAGCAAGTTGTTATGGTTACATTTGATTGCATTATGCACACTACAATAGAAGTGATATGAAACCTGGTGCCAGACAACTATACACTCACCAAAAATTCCACCACAATATTCTTATAGCGCTTGATGTTCTGTTTTTCTTCTACTATTACTTTTTTTAAGCTCAACATAGACTTTTTCATTATTCATTTCAAACTCTTGAAACTTTTATCTGGTTTCACTTCTCCCATGTCAATCTTAACCAAGGCGGAGTTGAAACCAATATCTATATGACCTGTGTTAACTGGATAATTATACAAGAACTCATAATTTGCCTTAACATCACACAAGCCTGTACAGAGATTATAAGGTGTAACTACAGTCGCCACATGCTTAAAACTGCTGTACTTTCACCAGGCCCGGACAAGTAGTATGAGAAAAGCAACGCCAAAATGTGGGAAGACTAGTTTGGCTTAAAGCTTTAACTAGCCTCTGTACGGGATCCACCTATTTTAGTCTTGTATGTGTATGTAACTGTTTCCTTTCCATATGGTCCACCCAAAAAAAATATTTAAAAATGCCTCTACTTGAGCAATATGAAAGATAAAGTCAATAAACTATGGATGCTATTCAAAGTTTATATTAACTAATGACCAAATCTTACTACATTCAAAGGAAAAGTATTAAACTCCTAATAAAAAGGTTAAAATCTCAATATTGTAGAGTGGCATTTGAAACTCGTTCAAGCAGCATTGACAATAACCAAAGCCCACAAGGCTGGAGAAGATGCATAAGTGTTGCAAATGCTTAAGTTTCTGATTTGATCTTTCTTTATCTTTGGTTGTTTAATAATTGACCAGGTTAGCAACTGGCCAACTCCACCAAAGATCAAATCACCACTCAGTCTTATGGACATTGTCATTTCAGAATAGTCGATGTTCCAATGCCTTGTCAGAACTCACATAGAAATTAAGTTTTTTTAAAAAGGTTTAAAACACAATGTACAAGTAATCACCTCTAATGGCTTCAATTTTATTTTATAACAGCCAGTTGTTGCAAGCCCTAGATTTTGGTGTCAGAAAGATAAAAACAACATAATAACATGCATAAGCTTGCATATATGTTGTTGAGCAGTGAGAAGTAAAATGTGCATCCGTACCTTGATTACCAGGCTTCATTACTCGAGCACAAGGACGCCCATTTTCATTCTCCTGCAACCAAAAAGGCATTCCAAATAATTTAGAAATAGAAGGATAAAATAATTGTTTTCCTTTTTCTTAATTGAACATAAAGCATCAAAACCTATATGGCAGAAGAACCACCAAAACTGACAAGGCAGAAGTAGCTTTAATACTTCAATACCAAATTGAAGAAAGAATGTTAACATGGGTGACAAAATGCATTAGGATTGTGGCATTTTTTCATGAATCAGGAGCCCAGAATGGCAAGAAGTAAGAATTGCAGAAAAAAAATAAACAGAACATAAATAATTAAAAAGCTATGACGTATTGTTCCGACAAAAAACAAAAAATGAAAGATGTATTATTTTCAATAGGAGAATACTAGATGCAAGGTCAATGCCAAAAGTTCAACACCAAAGTGACAACGTGAGAGAGAAAGAGAGCTCTCAGTAAAAAGCAAAATAAAATAAAATATATATTGTAACTTCACAAATGATTTCATGCATGGCACTCATTAGTAAGGTGCCAATTTCCGGAAGTGCCGCATCATCATCATCATGTGATGGGCATGTGGACAACTGACAATTCAAGCTGATGGACAGGATTATTCAAAATAAACGCGCATCTCATTTTTGAGGTAATATTTGATATTTCTGCTCAAACAAAGTTTTACAAACAAAGCATAAACGAAAAACAGGAGAAAAGATACAGATAAATGAATGGGCTGTAGGTACCGTTGTGGGTACTGTCCAACCATTTTCTGGAGACCAATCCAAGGATGGGCGCAAGTCCTTGCAAGAAACTTCATAGGAACATCCTTCACCAACAGGAGGAGGCGGCAACTCAATCTGGAAAAAAAAATAGAGAACACCAATTATTATAGAGAAGCAAAGCATCTCTTTGACATCAAAGTAACTATAGTTCAACGAACAAGTGCAGCTAGTACTCTATTGCACTAGATAAACATAGCACATTCCCCCTGACCCAGTAATGACATATGTGAATTAAGCAAAGAGCTCAAGAAAAATAATGTATAGCATGGTTTTGTAAGGAGTCAATGACTTCGGCTATGTTTAAACAATCTACAGTGAATCAGAGGTCAAACAATTGGTTTGTAAAAAATTGGAGTGAAGACAGCGTAGAATCTGAAGGGGAAAAAAAATTATGCTTAACACCTCAACAAATGCGCCAAGACACAAAATGATAACAAGTATCTAAAGTCAGCACTTAAAATAAGAGGAATATAAGAATCACCTTAACTTTCTCATTCCCTAATACTTCTGTTACTCTTCCAGACCAATAACAACCATCCTTCCACCAATCAACTAAATCTCCCACTTTCCAGACATCACCGACAAGAACTACCACTTCCACTATTGTATTGACATCAGGCATTGTACTTTCGTGATAGACAGGAGGAAAGTAAGGCCGCAACATCAATTGCAATTTTTTTGACTTTGTTGACTTTTTACTATAAGCACGGCTTGCTTGATATATTTTCGTCCAAGTTATTTCTGCAGATAAGGACAATTACAGAAAACAAAAAGGAAAAGGCAGAGACATCACTCTCACAAAAATATTTATTTTACTTGATAACCAGAAATGAAGCCTTCATAGATATAAATAAAAACTAGGCAACTATTACTCTTTTCGTCTCACAGACCATATTGTTTGATAGTATATGCAATTCTTACATAATAAATTACTTTATGATCCTCAAAATCAAAGTACAGTTAATCATGTACATTAACATATACAATAAATATAGAACAAACTCAAACAAGCGTTTTAACACCCCCCCCTCTTTTTTCCCCAAAAAAATCCTCATTGAGGAAACATACCAACGGATATCACTTACTTTCACCCGGAAAGTCAAAATACTCCAAGGAGGTTGAAATCTGACCCATTCTCCAGGCAATCTCTATTATCTGGGTGACAATTAAAACATTTAGAGAGCATGATATCATTATCTTGAAGAGTTTCTATACCAAATAATAAACAATGGAGAAACCATCTTCAATCAAATATATGGAAATAATCTCAAGCTGAAAAGTCTCATAAAATTACAAGCATGGACTATATGCACAAGCAGACACCTTAAACCATAAATCATTGGAAGTTATTTCAGATGCCCAATTTTTTTAGCAAAAAATAGGACAATTGATGGTAGTATTTGTAAAGCTTAAGCGTGTATATGTTGAATAATTCAGGTTGGAAAAAGTAAATTATGCACACATATGGTTCTAAAGGCTTAGTCATAAATCTAAAAATCCCACCTAATATTGCAGGAAAATCTGTTCTTTATTAGTGGAGTAAGTAAAGATTTTATGAAATATAACTAAGGAACAAAAAGAAAATACAAAAGCTACAAAAAAATCTTAAGGGAACAGGAGAATGCAACCACAAGAAATGTATTTTACTTCCAGAATTTATTTGATAAGAAACAGCAATTTTGTTAAAAGAAATTTACAGAGCAAGATGGACCAGAAATCCATCAAGAACACATCGGCTAGAAAACAACAACTCCCCAACCCCAACTATCCCTGATAATACTCAGTTCAAAATAGCAAAAACAATATGACTCTATCCCAGGGAAAACTCTACCTCCTCCCTAAAATCTTCTACCTAGCTTCCAAAATAGTATCTGCCTCTCAAATAAACTATCATTCCACTCTAACAGTTACCCACTCTGCCCTACTTGCCTTCTTAACAAAAAGACATGCCATCCCACCAGCACCTATGGATCACTCAAGAGATCACACAGAGGGAGAGGGATGGGGGAGAGAGAGCCCAACAACTGTATGAACATGTATTACAACTCATATACTCATTTGCTTGAAACACATACAACATCAGAATTTTCCTTGTTTAATGAAATTTTTCAACATCAGAATCTTTTCTATGAGAAAGTCAATGCCTAAGCAAAGAATGAGGCCTTTGATTACCTAAATGGTCAACAACTTCTTGGTGTATGATGTAAATAGAAAATAGCATAGTCCCTCCTACACAGTAGGTAGATGACTAATCATACTTCAAAGTACAAACATTGTTCGAGCCTCGATTCTTAAGGAGAAATCTCGAAAATATCTGATATACTAAGACCTGAAAATACCAATACTTCTATAAGACACTACGTCGCTATCAAAATATCTTACTAATAACTCTTCTTCTTCCCTGAACAGACTTTTAATGCTCCCACAAAACATCGATGACTATTTAACATTTATAAATAATTTCTTAGTATTCCTGACCCATACTATTATTATTTTATAAGAAAACAAACAGGGTCTTTGACTTTCATTGGATGTCATAATATTTTGGCCCTCCTTCGATTACAGCCTTCAATTTGTTGGCAAGATTCACTAAATCGTGATTGAAAACCTCACAAAACTTTCAGTCCCCCTCAATATCAACCAAAGTAGTTGGTATAGAAACATTCACAGCATCCTCATTGCAAGATCAACAACATCTTGATACCAATTGATCATTGTAATTGACTGAAAATTTCAGTGTTAGGGTCATCATATTCAAAAGATACTTTATGCAGTGAACAAATACATTCTTTACCACCAACTTCATCATGCAAAACTTAAATCCTACCTGATATTTTCTTGAGCCTAATCCAGAAGCTACTTATTCAGGTCCTATTAAAAAATAATTAGGTTGGTTTCTAGGTCATACATGTGCTTCAATCTTCATTCCCAACCAACACAAGCTAAAGTCCAGCATGGTTCTTATGTAACTCCAACAGACTACTGGATTTATGCTCTTAATTTCCTGAATAACATTAGCCTTTATCCTCTTTATCCTATCAAATAACAAGAAGATCTACATTTCAGATTGATGCAGGAGCATCTATTAGACTTTCCTAATCTAAGTGGGCATCAGCCAATAAGGCTAAGTTTTAGTTATATTAAATTAATAGGTTATTTTATTACTTGTTTTCCTACTCTTACTAGGATTTGGTTTAATTTCCTGTTTAGGTTTTTAATTTCTACGTCAATTAGGTTTTCTATATTCTAGTATAAATAGGCTACAAAGAGACTCTTGTATTTAGTTTTTGTTGATGAATATAATTTCAGACTTTAGTCCATAGAGTTTCTATTAGGATTTTGCCCTAGAACTCAGTTATCTTCGTTCCAACTTCGATTCTACTGCTTTATCCTTCTATCCTCTGTTTGTTGGGCATGTTTGGGTCGCTGGACAGCAGCTTATAGCCGCTGCCCTGCATCACAGATTCAGCTAACATTAGCCTTTATCCTCAAACTTAATGATTTCCTTTTAGAGGGCTTGGTATTACTATTATTAAGTATTAATAAGATAAGTTCCCTTTATAGTTTAGTGGAAGAACTGACTATGATCAATTTATGCATCTTAGAGCAGGATTGAATTCGCTGGTTTCCTACTTGAGCTTTTTTGTCCTTCATAGTAGTTCCCCTCTCAACTAAACTACTACCAACTTCACCTTCTTTCTATCTGGAAGATCAAGGTATTCAAAATTCTTTCATCTTCAGTTAACCAACCCAAAACTTCCCCTAGTTGTTCTCCAATAAATTCTGGTATCTCCACCTTAAGTCACAAATCTTGATCACAATCAACATTCTGATTAATAATTAGTGGTCGATGCAAAGGGAAAGTTTCATCTATTTCATTTGAAATCTCTGCCAACGGCTGCTATTGCTGAAATATTTCTAGAACGCATTGGTCACATCTGTTTGATGGTTTCTTTGCCTACCAACGGCATGATCTAGTCGATAAATAACTCCAAACCTAGATTTTTTAAATCTGAAATCATAAAAAGCCTGATATACTAACAAAACAACCAATCCTTTGTTACAAAGCCATATTGTTCTGTCAAAATGTGATCTTCAAGACTGCAGGTACTGTCTATTTTACAATTTGATTACTAATGATTCTTCCTCCTCCCTAAACAGACTTTTAATGTTTCCTAAAACAAAGGATGACTTTTTCATATTCCTAAGTAACTTCTTAGCATTCGCACTCCCTAATATCCCTTTATAAGGAAACAAACGGACTCTGACAAATGTTATAAATGTTTTGTATCAGTATCAATAGTGAAAACAATGAGACCGATACAAGATGTTGGCAATTGTTAACCGCAGTTTTAAGAGTGCAACAGTCAAGTTTAAAATACACTTAGGATGAAACAAAATTGATCATCAATGGATAACGCTAGTAATCTTTATCATGATAGATACCTTACATCGGAACCATGCACCACGAAAACCTGGAATAAATGACCTTGATTCTACCTCTTGGCCAGCTATAAATGGTAGGTCATGCACGCCCATGATGATCCGTCAAAAGCAACATATAGCTGTGACATGAACATTTCTAAGTTGCATGCAAATTTGCTCAAGCTCATTACTTGCTTTAAATATATCAACAGTTAAGCAGAAATAGCAAATCACTCAGTCAAGAGCTAAACAACCATGTAGAGACTTGTTCTTGGATTAAAAGCTACATAGTATGGATGTATATGTAATGGTCACATATCCTATCAAATATGGAACTTGTTGGGTACTTCTCAATATGCTCCAAACACCTAATTGATAGTTACTCATGATCACCCTTTTTCTTTAGGCTTTGTCTATTTCACAAAACAGGGAAATTTTCCAAAATGCTTATTCAGTGGAAACAAGAATTAACCAAACCTGGACAATTTGAATTCGTAATCAGCCAATGCAAAACGGAATCAAATTCCTCAAACGGAACAACAATGTGTGGGTACCGAAACTCTCTCCCTTTCTCTCACTTCAATTCATCTGGTGTCTCTTGGGGATTTGAATTCCGAATCTAGGGTTCTGTGATCTGTATATGTGTAGAGATGAGTATGGAAATCGCGGTGGATGCGGCGTCGTTTGATGTCGAGTTGTTGCAACTTACGGAGGTGTCCCCTTTGGCCCTCAAATCGAATCCAAGCTACGTAGAGTCGCTCTTTGGGTAGTGGCTTTCGCTTGCCGGAGGAGGAGGGGAGGCGGGGAGCGCGCGGCTATGTTGGGTACAGGGAGAGGGGCTGGGATTTTTTTCATTTGTTATTTTCTCATTTTATTTCTTATTTTTAAATTTTTAAATTTCTTATTTTCTCTTTTTTTTTATAAAGAAAATTACGATTTGACTCCTAATTTGTACGGAAGTTTGGATGGAAATTTAAAAAATTGACGACAAGTCCCAAATTGGCTATTTTTATATAGTTAAAGTCCTTAATTTACCAAAAAAATAGATCATCAGTAAATTGAAAATTTTGATTTAGTTCACAAAGCAAAACTGCATTTAAGTCTTGAAAATTAGTCACAATGTGTTTAAATGAGGGGTTTGAGGTGGAATTTGGGGCCAAGATGGGACACCAAAGTTTTGCCTGGAGCTAGATGGCACTTAAAATCCAATATTGATAAAGTGCTCCGTTTAGTACACTT